ACACCATGTCAACAGTTACAGTTGGTTCAGCAACTTTTTTTCTGGTTTGCTGAGTCCCTGAAGAACCTTTTCAGATGGATGAAGTGTCCAGCAGTTGAATTTACTCTTTTGGAAGTTATGTGCAGGCATGCTCTACCTTCATCATTTCCATTCAGGCAGTGTAATTCTGGTCACACAACTGCTGGTCGGCCAGCAAAGCAGCCAGCACGCAGCTGTGAGACACAGGATGCTGCACTTGACTTTTTCAGCTCCAGCTGACATCGATGCTTGCAAGATAGCACTGGATGAACTGCCTGCTGTCGGTAGAAATATACCAGAATAAAGATCCGGTGCATCAGCTCAGACAAGTTAATAGCAGCTTTCTGCTCTTTGTGCCAGGATGCCCTCAGCTCAGGATCTGTTTGCTGGCTGTCATTATTAGGATACAGAACAATTTATTTTCTTTTTATTTCATTTAGAATTAGCTTTAAAATTATACAAGAAATCTCACTACTGATGAAGCCTTCAATGCCAGTTTCTATCAGAAGGAAATCCAAGAACTCTGTTAATATTGTGATAGCTTCAGCATCACAGAGACCTAAATTAACAAGATTCGGAGAAAACCAAACAATTTGCCTTTAAACATGAGCAGAAACCAAAGGGCGAGATGTGGAGAAATGACAAGTGTTGAATTTCATGTTGAAACTAGAATTGCTGGTATTAATCCTTAGCCTAAAGGCTGCACAGTCTGGAAACACTCTTCAAATACATTATTATGTATTTGACACAAGAAAGGGTGGTGTATTTCACCTCTTCAGCTTTGACTTGACATCATGCTTACATACAAGATACTGCTGGATGAACAGTCTGCTATAGTATATATTTGAAGACACAGCACAGAAGATGTAACTTTTCCTAACATCTACCCTAATAATAATCTTGTTAAAGGCCTACAGGAACTTAGAGCAGACAGGTTTCTGTCCTACTAAGTGCAGTCAAGGTGCAGCTGATCCTTAATCACAGAATCACAGAATCACAGAATGGCCAGGGTTGGAAGGGATCTCAAGGATCATGAACCTCCAACCCCCCTGCCACATGCAGGGCCACCAACCTCCCCATTTAATACTAGACCAGGCTGCCCAGGGCTCCATTCCAATGTGGCCTTGAACACCTCTAGGGATGGGGCATACAAACCTCTCTGGGCAGCCTGTCCCAGCATCTCACCACTCTCTCTGTAAAGAACTTGCCCCTGACATCCAACCTAAATCTTCCCTCCCTCAACTTAAAACCATTTCCCCTTGTCCTGCAGTTATCTACCCTTTCAAAGAGTTGATTCCCCTCCTGTTTGTAGGCTCCTTTTAGGTACTGAAAGGCTGCAATGAGGTCACCCTGCAGCCTTCTTTTCTCCAGGCTAACAAGCCCAGCTCCCTCAGCCTGTCCTCATAGGAGAGGTGCTCCAGTCCCCTGATCATCTTTGTGGCCCTTCTCTGGACCCTTTCTAACAACTCCCTGTCTTTCTTGTACTGGGGGCTCCAGACCTGGACCTCATAAGAGCAGAGTAGAGGGGAACAATCACCTCCCTGTCCCTGCTGGCCATCCCTCTTCTGATAGAGCCCAGGATACCATTTGCTTTCCAAGCTGCAAGAGCACACTGCTGGCTCATGTTAAGCTTTTCATCTGTCAGGACCCCCAGTCCTTCTCTGCAGGGCTGCAGGGCCGCTCCTTCCAGTCTGTATGGATGCCTGGGATTCCTCCGGCCCAAGTGCAAAACTGCACTTTGCTGTTTTGAACCTCATTAGGTTCACCCAGGCCCACCTTTCAAGTCTGTTGAGATCCCCCTGAATGGAATCCCTTCCTTCCACTGTGTCAACCACACCACTCAGCTTAGTGTTATCCTGCCACACTGTGGACTGAAAACCAAGATAAACTTTTCCTTTTCATTCCAAGATTTTAAGATTCTTTACGCTATTGTTCAGAGTTATTCCAGTCCAGTCTCTGGCCTTTGGACTCCTTTGCCACAGCCATTTTTTGGCCAACGATGGTTCTGCGTTCTCATGTTCATGTTTTCACAATAAAGTGAAAGACTTGCTAAGTTCACTGGTCTCTCATAATCTGAAAACTGGTTTAACAATGCAGCACCATTTGAAAGGAAAGTTGACTTTTCTTCCTGGTACTTCATTCAAAACTGCTAATGGCTCCTGAAAGCTCAGATTTCTACTCCAGTTGTTTGTTCATTATCAACTTGAAGTGTCACAGCAAAGCTGGAAAAGTGTTTAGAAGCCTGTTCATCTTTGGAATACTGATTTATTTAGTAATTAGCTTACCTCTTTCCTCGCTTTCCAAATGATATGGAAGTTATAAATGCAAGTTGTTAGAAAGATGGGAGAAACAAGTGCTGGGTCAACATTCAGACTGCAGGTACAGAAAATTCACAGAGGTTTTGGGACAATACCCTTTTTTTTGACTGGATTAAGATAGACTGAAATAGGAAGAACAGCTCAAGCTCCCCAGAGCTGCAGTGTCAGACTCCTCTCTCCAAGCTGAACAGGAGACTTGGAAAAACCACAGTTGATCACACCCTTGTACTTTGTATGATCTTGGTGACATATCTTGTATTATCACTGTATGTAGTGCCTTACCTGAGAAAAGGCAGTATGATGGCATCCTATAAGCAAGGGCACAGCTGGAGCCCTTGCTTGCACCTCAATAGCACAGCAAGGTTTTGAACATTCCTACCACTGAAAACCTGATGTCCAGATACACAGCTTCTGCAACAGATGCTCAGTTCTTAGTTCTTGTACACGTCCTACAATGCTGTACTTCAGAAAGTCAGCGCATGGGACAGGCACAACTGAAGAACTTGGAAAGAAAACATTTATTGGTCATTGTATGTCAAGGCAATCAGTAGTTTTCTTCCACTTAGAGAACTCGTGGCTGTAATTTTTGTCAGATGCATAAATGCTTCATTTGCAAAAGAGGAGGTAGCCTGGTTTCCTGGGAACCATTTACTCCATTAAGTCCCTTCTTTATCTCATAGGACAAAAACTCTTTTCTGCACCTAAGAAATGTTCCAGATGCACAATGCAAAGTAACTTTTGCCTCATCTCAGGCAGGATTGCAACCTATTCTGCCCAGCAACCAGCATTCCGTTAGAGAAAATTTTTATCTGCAACAAGAGGCTGTGAACACTGCAGGTCTTGCATTTGTATTGCTGCACCAAAGCCGTACCTCAGCCTCCTGTGTTATCATTCCTAAGCGATTTCTGAATTAAGTTTGAAGGGTAACTCAAACTTTGACTTGCAAAATGGAGAACTACGTATTTGTTCAGAGAACCGCTCCAAATTCTTTCACTGCTATTGACAGAACTGTACTTTGTATATACTTGACATTTAAATATATTAAGTTCATTCAAATATAAAAACAAAAGGAGCATTTTGGAAAGATATGGATTTGACATGTGGACTGTTCAATGGATGAGGAACTGGTGGTCAGAGGCTCAATGTCTGGATGGATATCAGAGACAAGTGGTGTCCCTTCAGGGGTCAGTACTGAGACGAGTGCTCTTTAACATTTTCATCAGTGACATCGACAGTGGGTTTGGGTGCACCCTCAGCAAGCTTGTGGATGACACCAAGCTGCAGCTGACATGCCCAAAGGACAGGATGCCATCCACAGAAACCTAGACAGGCTTGAACAATTTGCCCAGAAGAATCTCATGATGCTCAACAACTCCAAGTGCAAGGTCTTGCACCTGGGTCATGGCAACCCCCGCTGTCAGTTCAAGCTGGGGGTGTAAGGACAGAGCACAGCCCTGGTGAGGAGGAACTGGGGGTACAGGTGGATGGCAAGCTGGACATGAACCAGCAACATGCCCTTGTAGCCAACAGTATTCTGGGCTGCATCCAAAGCAGCGTGCCAGCACAGCAAGGGAGGTGATCCTGCCCCTCTACTCTGCACTGGTGAGGTCTAACTGGGAGCACTGTGTCCACATATGGAGTCCTCGGTACAGGAGAGATGTGGATCTGATGGAGTGCACCCACAGGAGGGCCACAAAAATGATCCAAGGGATGGAACAGCTCACTGAGGACAGGCTGAGAGAGCTGGGACTGTTCAGCCTGGAGAAAAGAAGGCTGCAAAGTGACCTGAGAGCACCTTTCAGTATTTAAAGGGGCGCTGCAAGAAGGAATGGGACAGACTCTTTAGTGGGGTCTGCTGTGACAGGACAACAGGAAATGGTCTCAAACTAAAAGAGGGGAGATTTAGACTGGATACAAAAACAGTATCTTATGATGAGAGTGGTGAGGCATTGCAACAAACCGCCCAGAGAGGTGCTGGGTGCCGTGCCCCTGGAGACACTCAAAGTGAGGCTGGACAGGGCTCTGGACACCCTGATTTAGCTGTAAGTGTCCCTGTTCATTGCAGGGGAACTGGACTAGATGGCCTTTAAAGGTTCCTTCCAACTCAAATGATTCTATTATTTCCTACAAGTGATTATTAATCTGGGTTGATTCCCACTCCAAAGAAAGCAACAACAAAAACCACAACCAACCGACTCCTTATTGCAGGCATATTTAAAAGCCCCAAGTCTAGAAGTTGTTTCAAATCTCAAGATACTTCAAACAACCAGCAGCCAGGCAACAATCCTTACAAGCCTGACATATTTGCCAATGCACAATTCCATTAGTTTGCAAGAAAGGATGCGTGATGAAGTCCAAATGTTTTTCACAGTATATATTCTTATGAGGCAAATATTACCAACTCTTATCCTCTCCTGTGAGGAATACATGGATAAAAACCATGTTGCACACTCCGGATTACAGATAAACCACTCACAGCAACATTATCAGTAAGAAAGCATGACAGGTATTAACTCTCTGTTTCTTTCCTTCAGCCATCCAAAGAAATTGACCTTTTTCTTTTTTTTTAATTGGATGCAAATGTTCACCTTTTACAAAAAAAGAAAAATATTGTTCAGATTTAGCATGGAGTTGCCACTGTCAAAAACTGACACTTCTGCATGGTTATGAGCAAACAAAGTTTAATCTAAATCTAGTTCACAGGATGCAAGATTTCAGTTTTTCCAGTAAACAAACGTGGCAGAAGCTGTGTCTGCATCAGCAAGTAACTCAGTGTGATAGGAGAGGATCCATAAAATCAAACTGTTGGTGCTGAACCTCTATACCTACACTGTATTAAGTCTGGAAATTTGAAAGCCAGATTTAATGTGATTGTGCAGACATCCTCAACACACAGGTGGCTTCAAGTTGTCTGAAGGACAAACCAACGCTATGGCCCCATATCCCTGTGAGGAGCTGGAGTTTGGTGCAAAGCCAAAGCACACCTTCCAGTGCAGATTTCTCCAAAAGGAAGTGAATTCAAGTGTGCCAAAGCGTGCAAAACACAAGAAACAGAAGTGATGTCACTAAAATTAGTGATAGTAAAGCCTCCTTCTACTTGCAGTGTGAGAACAGAGACATACAAAAAAGGGGTTGCTTAGGAGAATTTGAAAGCAGAAGTGTAACTAGTGTTTCTTGTGTTCAGAAGGAGCAATTATTTACTAGCATATAAGTTAAAAAAAATCCTCAGTGGAAGGGGGTACTGAGATGCATAAGATATAACACATTTCATAAACAGAAACCTTTTACAAGTCCATATCACAAGCTATAATATCTAGTACACCAACACTGCACAATACAAAGCTTGTCTTTATAGTTAAAAAATAGAATATAAACAAGTATTAGTTCACATTGACACAATTGCCACAGCAAAATTTTTCAGAAAGTGCTTTACCTATACAAAATATCTTAAAGCCCACCAAGTAAGTTGTAAGGTTCTACAATTTAACAATACAAGTTAGAAAATAAAGTAAAATGAAAATGCAAGTGACATTCAAAACTTTTGAGAGAAATTAAGAACTCACAATGTGCCATCTACCTCAACTGATAAATTCCTGTCAGCTTCCTCTGGGGAGTCACTGCTCCCAAATATGACATAAGGTACTATCCAGAAAAAGTAATGGAATATTTGTTTTACTTCTAAATTGCTTTACTGACACTTGGATTTGATGTCCAAGGCATAGAACTATCTCAGACTAAACATATTGAGGAAAAAAAGTACAAATTTATTCAACCAAATCTGTGGTAGAATTGAACATCCTACAGGGATGCTAGTTTTTGAAGACAGGAATTGAGACTAACACGGAACTAAACGAACAGAGAGGAAAGCACAACCACAGAGTACTTCACAATAAAATACCTCTTTATTAGGAATATATTTAAAATTAGCCTTTTATTTCAGATAAGAAAAATAGCATTCTGACTTTCAGCCAGCGCTGATTCTGGTCACACGTAACATTCTAACAGCTAGAGTACTTATCTGCACCATTGCTGCCCATGGACAGTTCTTCTAACTGTCCCTTCACTGCCTTTTATTCTTCTTAAGTATGCAGAAGAGAATACTGTAGCAAGCCTTGTATTTAGATCTTAAGGAACATGGACAGACTGACTAGACTGCAACTTTGGATGTGTCATCAGCTCATGTACAACTTTTACAAGCTTTCTTTTAAATAAGAAGAACAAGATGGTTCAAGAGCTGATCTATAAAGACAATTGATCTATAAAGACAATTAAGAGGGCAATTCTTCAGGAAGGCTGCTGTAGAACAAAGCTCATTCTTCTATTGGACAGTTTAGTACTGTAAAGTAGCAGCAATTTCAAGAACTTCAGTCAGCTCCACACCCCTTTAAAAGAAAACACTGACGAACAGCATACAGGGGCATTGCTATTCCAATCCAAATATAACCCACCTTTTGTGTACATTTTTATGCTCACTACAAGATTAAATTCTCTCTCTTGCCATGCTGTAACTTACTGTTTAAGGTGATTAACAGGACCATGCTGTAAACAAAAATATAACCCTTGTGTAAGCTTCACTTTTTGGAGTCTGCATAACTAACTTCTAGAAAAAAGAAGCTGTTTGTTTTTCCATCGTGAGCATAGAATTGCATGGCATCTTTTGGAACGGGCTGTCATCCAACTAAAAATGAAATCCACGTATTCACTGAAGTGAAATACATCATTTGTAACAAATTTTGCCTTTTCTTTTAAAATTCATTTCCAGATCTATCAGATGGGGAAAGTATTCTCCAGAAATTTTTTTTTGTTATTTTTATCTGCAGTTTCTTCCATATGAAGCTATAAGATACACATTTCAAAAAGAGTTCCATAGGCAGATGCTTCTTAAATGTGGGTGGAAACCATGAATGATGACAATACTACAATAAATCTCCAAATACACTGGAAATAGCCAACAGGCCACAAGTTTGTGGCTGTTTTAAGCAACACTCTAAAAATAAATACCAAAAATAGGCTGTGTCAGGAAACAATTTGATACTCAAGTAAATAGAAAATTTGCATTTTAATGTCACATTGAATTTTAGTACATTTCAATCCAAGGAAAAAAATGACAGACATGGTAATGAGTACAGGGTTGTATATATATTACAATATGCCTTGTTATAATACATTTGTGGCTTTATGACAAAAACTTAAGGGCAGATGGAATTTAAGCTCATTTAAGTAACTGTATTTAAGTAACTGTCAGGAACAAAGCATTAAGGGGATTCTTGGAGTAAGTACTTTAATTTCAAAACCTTAAAACAGCATTAGACCTTGGCCTTTTCTTAAAAAAAAGTTTTGTTAACACTAAATAAGTATTCTCAAAGATTTAAACAAGATAGAAAATGCTTTCCCCAAGATGACATACGGTGGAAGGGTACATGATTTCAACAACAGCACCTATTGCTAACTCCATGTTGACCTTGACCTAGAAATGCACACTAGTGATCTCCACAAGGAATCCAGCACATTTTGGAAGTTGTCCATTTCACATGAAAGCAAGAGAAAGGGTTATCGTATGCAAAATTATTTTCAAACTGTTCTTAACTTGTAATGGGAAACTAAAGGCATGGTTTCTTCATTATAAAAAAATAAAGGTATAACAGAAACTTTAAAGGAAAATACTCAGCTATACTGAAGTTGCAACCCTTTGAAGAGAAAGAAAAAGGAAAAAAAAAGATCAATTAGCTAAGCTTTGTGCTCTAACCAAACTACTTACAGTGATTTTCATGGCAAAAGCCCATGCTGACTGGGTGATTTGACAGTTCCAAATACCTTTTGTATTTTTTTTTTTTTAATTTTTATACAAGGACACTAAAATGATCCAGTCATGCAACGTTCATTTTAAGCATTCTGCATCTCTTTTCCAATCTTATAGCTAAGAATCTTGTTCCAGTCAATCTTGGTGCGGGTAACTGGCAACTGCCGACGTAAGGCCTTGAACGTAGTGTCCGACATAGTCTGGTAATTCTCACTGATTGCAGTCTGTTAAACACAAAGTCATACAAAGATGCATGAAAAACAGAACAAAGATGCTACATAAAAAGTTAAATGATTGAACAGCCTGTTAGAGGCTTAATACATTGAAATATTTTATGAATAAATGATGTTACATCTAGATTGAAACTATGCTAAGACAGTTCAACAGATGCAATAAACCTGGTTGTAGGCCAGGTGATTCAGCAAACCTCAGTGTGGTTAATCAGCAACATGAATGAAATGCTGATCAGAGTTAGTTCATACATCATTAACTTCACACACCAAAGTTTCCCATTGTTATTTCTGGGGGATGGCTGAGTCAGATGACATTGCAGCATGACTTAAATATAATGCATATGATACTTAGTACAATTTTACTAATGAGTATTTTTTTTCCAAGCTGACAGAAGAAGGTGTCTGAAATCTACCTTATGTTGAAGACCTAAATGAACATGAAACCACTTCTACAAAGGGCATCTAGAACAGCTGTACTTCTCTAACTTCAAAATGACTAACTCAAATACATAACGCTTACTGTCATATTTCGCAAAGCTGTATAGAAGAGCCACCTCCAAACAAAATCTGTACAAAAATTCCACTTAAGAAATGCACTTGGGATGAAACGGATCAAAACCGCTGATATTTAAACACACTAGGGACCTCAGAGATTCATCTTCTGCTCTCAAAAAATGACTTATACTATTATTATGTAGGCGACTGCAATCACCAAAAAGTTTGGAAAGGAAAGGTACATTTAAAAGCAGCATGCAATCTATTTGTATTTGCTTGAAATGGCATAATCTCAGTATCAAGCCTGCTAATTGCAGAATAGTAGCTCTGGTTAAATATATGATAATGTTTGATTATGGCTATGGTGTTTTTATCCAACCCACCTGATACTCATTTTCCGCAGCCTCCACAATTTTTATAAATTCCTTCGCCGTCTGGGCTTCATTCTAGACAAAGAGAGTGTTTCAGTCAGGCTGGATGTACTGCATGGTTCTGGGAAGACTATTTACATTTTGTTTATGCCACTTTCATGAGAGATGTGCAGAAGACTTCATGAGAACATGTGACCATTTAGTGACTAAAACACAACTGAACTCACCACTCATCCAACAGATGTATGCCACGTTCTTTCTTGTTACACCTTAATTAGTTGTGTGAGTTCAGAACACAAACTAAAATTATGAGGAAACAAATCAACTAAGTACGCAGCAGTACTGGTTTATTTACATGAGTCAAGCCAGATTTAATTGTGGTAGGAAATGATGTTAAAAAATTAGAGCATTTCAACTGGAACAAGCATGAAGATTACTGCAGAGCTCATTAAAACACCTTGATTAAAAGCTCTGTTTTGATAAAAAGACATAAGGAAAGGACAGCATTTGCAAGTATGACAATGCACACACAAGTCTCTAAACATCAATACTTTGCTTGTTTTAACACTACCAACGTTTTGTCTCCAGTACAACTTAAAGAACATCTGCTAAACAAAAAATACACAAACTACAAACAAACAACAACAAAAATGATTCATCTCCAAGTATTCTAAATTAGGCAACTCAGCTGAGGCAGGAAACACAAATTATATGCAGTCTTAAAAAAACATTCAAATAAACATTACAAATATGGGTGCAACAACTCAATTTCCAAAATTCATCATGATTGACAGCAGTGTTTTGATGCCTCATCCTTAAGCACGTAAATTCTTGTTTGTTTTAAAAGTAAACAATGACCCTTCAGTCAATCTGAAGGCAAATTAGCTGAAGTGCTTGAGAGATGTGTAAGGAAGAAAAGGAGCATTCAAAAATTTAGAAGCCTCCAACTTGGATCTTGGGGAATTCCTGAGGGGACATCTGCAGCAGCAGCTGAAAAGGTAGACATGCTTTTGTTCTATGCAATCCTTTGTGTCTACAGAGGGTTAGTTCTTTGGGCTTAATTGCCACTGGCAACAGAAGTGCTAATAAAAGAGCTAGGCTGGACTGCATGGCTGGAGAAAAGCTGTGGCAGGCTCAACTAGAACTGCTTCAAAGTGTCAGAGAAACTACATCTAGCAGCTGTGAAAGTGCTCCTGAACACGGCAGAAAGAGATGAAGGTGCTAGAGAGCAAGCAGAAGACTGCAGAATGAAAGGGCTTTGACTTTTCAGTGAACCGAGACAATGATTTCAAAGGCTCAGAGAAAAACTAGAGAAAAAAAGCAACCCTCGCTACAATAATTCATAGTTCCAGCAACAAGACAACTTTTCACTTCTTTCTTTCACTTGTGCCCATTGCTGGTACAGAATCACTTCTTTGCCAAACAACAAAAAAAAGAAGTCATTAGGGCTCTTTTATTCTACCATTCTGCCTGCATGAGATAAGAACTTCTACCCGCTCTGAAGGCTTTAGCCATGGCTAAAAATTGGTAACCAGCAGCATACTCGCTTTTGTTCTATTAGGAGGCAGGAAGGTTATGTAAAAGATGTTTTTCAACTCACTGGTCTTCTAAATTGCAGAACAGGATTAAGTTACTTCTAATAGAAGGAGAAGCAAAAGCTATTGAAATGAGACCTTCTTCCAGACAGTTCCTTCTGAAACATCTCTTAGTTGAATGAACGACTAAACAGATCTCTTTGCTTAGGGGGTGAAAAGTAATTTTATATCTACAGCTACAGAAGTGTTATCTCTTGGCACCACAGTCTGCCATTAACTATGGTACTATTACTATTATTGTTGGCATCTGAAAAGCCAACAAGTCTTGCTTTATATTAATGAACAATGTTCTCTATTGATGAACAAAGATTTTGAGACCCACAGGGTCACAACTAGTCTTTATCTTTAAAATACTTCTAATGTTCATGTTTAAAATCTCCCTTTACCAGTTTAACTTCTCTGGCTTAAATTTTTTAAGGAACACTCCAGGATGAAATCTTACCACCTGTAAATATCACCTCCAAGAAGCAAGAAGATTCTAACTTCAAAAGTAGCAGTTTATTTTGCAATAATACCAACTCCAAAAGGACACATCTGCTAGTATTTCCAAACAACTTTTATTTCAACCCTGTGCTCCTCATTGCTACAAGTATCCACTTGGAAAGAAAACTTTAAACTCCAGAAGTGTTAATACTTCTCAAGCTGAAACATCTCCGAAAGAGCTTTTAGTATGGAAAACCACGATGCTGAAAGCACCCATTACAGACTGGGAGGAAATTGAGGAAAAGTACTCACTACTGCTTCTCAACTGGCAGCATTTGCTTCCTAGTTTTTAGCATACCAGTTACCTTGCCACAAACAAAGCAGTACTACAGGTGATCTCCTAGAAGCTGCACTAATAAACTCAAACCTTCTTCATACTCAAAAATTATATCTATAAAACACTCTTTAGCATACTGAAATTTAAATACAACACAGGTGTAGAAAGACAAGACAGAAACCTGATTAAAACTACAAAGTGAATTTAGCTTATATAAGCCACAAGTAAGCACATGTTTAATCAAAACATTTTTAAATTAACATTAACTACATGTGATTGTGGTAATTTAAAATTATTAAATGTAGTTGTAATGTAGAAGTAGAAAATATTACATATAAAATATTCACAGCTTAGAATATTCATTCTCATTCACACAGGAAAGAAAACTAGCCCTCACATTTCTAAGTTATTTTTTAAGCAAGCTTCTGTTTTTAAATCAAAAAGTCACTTCAGTGTACACATAAAGGTCTCTAAAGTTCACTTACAGACACTGTTAGCGAATCCTGTATGTCTTTATGGCTCACAAGCTGAACATTACCATCTTCGTAATAGTGAACCTACAGAAAATTAGACAAAAAACTCATTAAATGTTACAGAATGTCATCATACATGAAAATCAAAATGTTGTAGAAATTAAATACTTTTAGAAAGGCAACACTGAAGAAGCTACTAAATTTAAAATATTTTGGTGTTGATCTGCCTCCAAGTACTATTTCATGCAAAGAAGTTTAGGCTTTGATTAACAAGAAGTAGAAAACTTGCTAGTTATGTGATAACTTCACTAAGAATTCTTCAAGCAGTAACGATATATTTAACACGAGAACAGCTTTGGTAAAGCTTCAGGATACACTGAAGTTCCTTTCTTGCCAGCTTTGCCCAAATTGTGTGCCAGGAATCACGCAACATTAAGCTTCCCTTTCTTCACCTGCCTGTTTTTGATATCTCCCTCTGTTAGGTACAGCTCAAAACAAAACCAGGTATGCATGTTAGCAAAGGAGCAATTCAGTACAAAGTTTGACAAAGGTGATAAGGCAGGATGAAATTTATTTACATTTGAAATGTTAAATCTACAAACAGCTTCCTTGCATATCCTGCAGGAGGTGGTAAAACTCTACTCAAGCTAACTTTAGTTCTAAATTCAGTTGGGAAAGAGAGAATGATCTGAAAACATTCAGGTTCTAATGCAACTATCAGAGAACTTGAAAAATCAGAAGCATATATGAATTATGTGTAACCATTTACAACAACCAATGCAAAAGAGTTACGGAACTCCGACATTTGAACAGGTATCTTTAAAGACACTTCTATAATTTTGATCAAGTCAAAACAATCATTGTAACTGATGTTATGAGAAACAGAAGCATTTATGCCACACCCTACTAAGCAAGATAACATTTGAATGTGGTGATTAATAGACAATAGTATGATTTCATATACATTACGATCATGACATATGCAAGAGGCCCTCACTTTTACACAAAGTAAAGAGAATATGACATAGAAAGGCAGCTGTACCTAAGTACAAGAAGCATTTCCTGTAAGAGAAAATATTAGTTCATAAGATTCATCTTGTCTTATTATCTTGCTTATTGGCAAATACTTGTTTTCCAACAAAAGATATCTTAAGTATAAGATTAACTTGTTTTCAAATTAAACATCACAGGCTGAAACTTCTATCAGCCTTTTTCAATCTAGTTCCTTGGAGGTGAGAAGTGCAAAACTATGAGCCCTTCCAATGAAACAAGAGAACCCAGTGAGGTATAATCTGGCCTTCTCTGCCATGATCCATTGGAGAGGACTCAAATCCGCCCTGTGCTCTAAAGCCAATATCAGCACAAATACCTGCCTCACCAAGTTACATTCTTAGCAAACATCCAGACCTAACAGGGATTTAACAGGGATGAAGAGTCAAATCTAATCCTGACATTTCTTATGTCAAATGAAATATGAGAAGTAACTGTTCTGTACTATACCTCACTGCTGACATCCTTCTAGAATGCTACATCTGGGTTCAGAAGACTACAAGAAGGATGATGTTTATGAACAGAATCTCTTGGGAATGTTAACTACGGAGGGATGAGAACAGCAGATTATCTAACAGATAAAATCAGTAACCAACACACTTATCAACTGTTTTCCATGCATAGCTGGAGCCCGTCAAGCACCAAAGGGACTTAAGTTTTAGTAAAAGCCTGCTGTTGCACAGTATTCACCTTGTGTAATTAAAAGAAAATTAAAACTGAAAGAGGTTAAGACAGTTGAGATTCCTCTGTACTGGAATGTATTAATAGAACAACAAAAAAAAGATCGTATTTGTGATCTTAACAGTAAATGAGATACCAGAACTCAGGTGGTGCTGGAATTTACCCCAAGGTACTCAGGAAAGATATTATCAGAACCAAGGCAACGGCAGTATTGTTGTCATAAAGGTTCCCTAATCGACTAAAGTCATAGTAAGTTTATAATCCAGAAGCCTGTTTCACACCTTAAAATAAACTAAAGCACTCAAGGTACTTCTATATCCATTGCAGAAATTAAACAAAATTTCTAAAACTTTGAAAAAGAATTCAGCATTCCCTAGTGAAATAGGAATGTCCTAAGCAAGCAAAAAGCTCAAACTTGTAACTGTTTCCCAAAACATGCACTTTAATAAACAGAAATACTGTCTTGATTTATTATACAAGATAGTCATAAAGGTCAAAATCAGCTTGAGATGCACATTTAACTCAATTCCCTGTTCAGGCAACTTTCTGTTGTCACTTAATCCAGCAGGCAGCTAAGCATCACACAGCTGTTTGCTCACAGATTTCCCAGAATGAGATAAATGCCTGCTTGTTCTGGAAAATCTCCTAGACATTTAACCTGAAGTGAATGCTGTGGACAAAATGAGTGTTTTGTTGCAAGACAGATTTAAGTGATTGTTCGTTTGGATTCTTCCAAAGTCTCAGCAGGTCTAGAAGTTACTCAGGGTGCTTGCTATGACCATTTTGATGTAACAACATAGTAAAAATTGTCCAGACTCTGAATATCATTCTAGCTTACAGGATGTTGACCCAAAGTGGGAAACCGGATTCAGGCTCCTGCTTGGGTAGATTTGAACACAGGTACCACAACTGAGAAGAACATACTAAGCCTCACACTGAGAATATTTTGGTGCATCTTCCTTCTGAAATCAAGTCACTCAGCAGTAAGGTCAGTGCAAAAGTTACTGAAGGTAGAGAAGGAGCAGGAAAAGGAAACTTGGCTTACATCTGGTAAAAGAAAAAAAAATGGCAAAAAAACACAAACAAACCAAAAAACCCTCCTACACTGAAAGGCAGGCTGCAGTAAAATTCTAGTCCCTGATCCCAGAGCTGTTTAAATAACCTCCTGCAAAATATGTGTACACATTCCAGGGAACCAATCCAGAAAGCCAAGTTCGCCTGCCTACCGCATGACAGTCAGACTTGCTCTTGTTTCAAGAATTCTGCATTCCTGCTTGGAAAACATATTTCTGAATGCCTTAGAGCCAACAGAAAGGGAAAATTCTTAATGAAGATCTAAATTCAAAAAATTCAGATAACAGAATGACTCAAACCAAAGGTTCCTATCTTTCTAAACAACAAGGTGGGTAACATGAAAAAAAGCTACTATCACTTAAGAAGAAAAAAATCCCTCCTTCAGAAAGGGACTACCCTCAAGAAGCTTCTCCGTGTAATGTGGAATTCAAGTTTCTACTGGCTCACTGTACAGGAAATAGGTACAAAACTGAAATAGGTATATGGCCATCCAAGATGAACACATCTTCTGAAGCCCACAGAATCATTACAGCATTTTGCAAGAATCAGGCAAATACGCAGTCAAGTGACTAACACTTATCTAAATTCTCTCTTTGGCTTTCTGGATTCCCCAATTCTCTTGAAATGTTTAAATACATTGGCCTAAGTCTCTTCTGATAACTGGATCATTCATTCATCAGGACACAGTTTAGGATAAACATACCTGAATTTTCAAGATGCCAGCCACTTGAGTGGTTGAAGGGGAGATTGTAAACTTCCATTCTGATCTCCAGCGGCCATTCCTTTCAAAAGTAAAAATTAAAAACAAACATTTCACCTCGTTAGTTGAGGGGAAAAAACCCAACAAAATATACAACTGTCAGTCAAAAGAGAAGAAGAAAATACCCAGTGGAACTACAGACACAGTATCTTTCAAATCATAAATATTCAGTCCATAGTCAGTCATGAGGAAAACAGTTTCCTGGAATACTTATCCAAGATTTGGATGAAGACCAAGGACATCTATTAGTAAGGAGCTTTTAACAACAGGATTTAGCTTCTGAAAATATCTAAAGGCTTTAGTGTTCTTTCCTTCTTTATTAGTATACACATATAACCAATCTTTTTTTCTTTCCAGGACTTGGAAAATTTGCTGGATCAGCCAAATTCACTTCAGAGCAGGCTACCAATAAATGAAAGGAAAGGAACCTTAAAGTAGCAAGTCTGTCTGCTAGTGCTGAAACTCTAACTAAATCTTTCAGCTCTTCTACAATTTCTGCTCCAGAGTAACTTGCTTCCATCCTGTAGAAACAAATTCAACAATCTTGCATAATTCCTTAAAGGAGTTTCAAACATCTGAATAGCAGTATGGGGAGACTGTAGTTTCACCTGACTTCTTCCCTGTAAATTAGACACTTTCATTTTAGCTAGGAGGTTAGTGGGTTAGAAGGTTAGTACATTAAAGCTGTGTTAGGATGGTACTGTGGCCACGTCTTGATTCCTGCTTTGTCTGCACTTAAAGAAGAAAGTTTCAATACTCTGAGATCCAGTTCTCCTACAGCTAGGTGTAGATTCCAGAGCACTCAATGATTTCTCTAGTACAGACAGAAAAGCTTGGTAGGGAAACATGAATGGTGTACATGCACTTGTCTGACCTTAAGATAATCAGTGTAATGCCAATAGTACATTTGTTCAATGCACTGTATTTTACAGTATTTGTTCTCATACAAAAACTTACCAAAAATTTTTTGCTTGGAACTGATGGCTCTCTATGCATGCAATAATGGTTTGCTGTCCATCAATTGTTTTACCATACACCTTAGTTAGAAATGAAAAAAGCAGAGTTAACATTTCAGCTATCCTGTTCAAACCGCTCAGTGATATCCAGTCCTAGTATATGTCCCAATTAACTGTACAATTCTATTTTACAATCAGTATGATTTTTATATAATACTCAGTACATAAAACATGATTATATATTAAAAATTAGAAAAGCAAGATTAGAAAATCTAGAGGTCGAGTATTATAACCTGCAAAGGCTTTTGTTGTTGTTTTTGTTTTTTCAACCAGAAATTCCAAGCATACATACTGTCATGGCAGTCACTGCTACCACAAGAGTTTCAGACACCAGTTACTCTTTAATTAAGAAGTGATTCAAGCCTTTATAGATTGTTGCTAAAGCGATAAAAAGGTAGCTTTAGTTCTCTGCTTTGCTGTGCTCCCTGAAAACAAATAAACAATACAGAAGTTATCTTGACAAAAGTGCAATCTGCTTTCCTTCACAGAAACTTGGGCACTCATCTCACTGTACAGGAATCCAATTCATCATGTCAAATCAGCAAATGAATATTCATTTCTTTACTAGATTAGTTTTCGATCAGGTTAATACAAAGCCCAGGACAGCTATCCATAGATCAGCTCACCAAACTTAAAACAGTCACAGGGTTCCTAACAGCAAATCAAATGCTACTTAAGTCTAGAGTTTTATTTCAAGAAACTGCAGAACCCAGTGATGCTGGTGGTAAGAATTTTTATATATTTTTATATATACATTTTATATATTTTATATTATACATTTTTATATATAGGATGAGTGATGGAGAGAAAACAGTTTGCTTTACTGACAGTTTTGTCAGTAAGCCAAACCAAGGCAGATATTTGTATCTCATGCAATATTTGTTTATTTATTTCTTTTTAAGTAATCTATCAGGTACCCAGGATCAATGCAGTCAATCTGCAGCCATTTACAGAAGGTTTCAAGCCTTTTCTATGAAAGGACTAAAATAGAAATATAACCTGCAGTAACCATCTGTTGGCAGTTGCTGAAATATTAAACATCTGAAGCTTCCCCCGATCTCCCTAACAAACCCCTGTGAAGATTAATTCTTCACAGTTGAAACCAACTATGCTCCTGGTTCACCAAGTTAGTTAAAATTTCATTTTATATTTTTATCCATAGCAGCTACCCATTATCCACACATATGGAAGTGGAATAAAATGAATTCACATAGCTTTTTTATTGACTTGATGTTAGGAATTTTCTTTGTTGATATTCATAGAAACCAAACTAAGATTAGGCATCATAAATTTTAAGACGACACATTCCTGAAGCAGAAGATCTAGTCTTCAGAGCCATCTATCATAACTTCAGCAATGCCACTAGTGGTACTCTTCTGTTTTTCCTCATACTCTTCATAGAATATAGTAAAGGATGACAGCACTAATGAGAGCATTTTTTTTTTTTTTTTTTAATTCTATGCTTCACCAATAGTTCAGTGGTTAGATAGCTTAGTACTTACTGTGCATACACCATTTGGGTAGTGTTCTTTCACATACGCCTTCATTGCTGTTTCAACTGAATTTCTCCAGGACTCTATGGCATTTTCAACTTCATGGGGCCTAGGATCAGTAGCCTCCTTTCTTAAGTGATCAAATTTAAAAGAAATCTTGTTCTTGGGATCCAAAAATTTTCCATTTCCCAAGTCACCATGTTCTGTTATCAAAACCTGTATTACGAAATTTTAGTTAACTGTATTAGTATAAAATAAAGAAGGAAAAAAATTTCACGCTAAATTGTACAACTGTGCATTTTAGTGCACACTTAACTGAAGATTCCTCAAAGAGTCACATTTTAAACAATATATGCACATATATCAAGGGAGGAAGAAGCTAACAGGGAGCACTGACACAGAATCAAAACCCAGATCGCTACCCTCTTATTGAAACAAAAGGCAATTAGAAGTTTTTCTTTATTGCCTATAATGACTTCAGGTACTACAGGTAAGCAGCTCCTACAGCTCCAAATCAGAATATCAGACAATAATACAGAATGAAATTGCAAGCTCCTTAGATGCTCTATATGATTAACTTACTAAACTGGTACCACTGGTGGGCCATAACATCTGTATTTTAGTAGAGAAGATGCATTTCCTTTCCTTTGCTTTCCAAAGTATGTTCCAATACCAGAACATCTTTAAAAATGTAAGGAATGTCACTGTATTCATACCTGTTCATCGTAACCGTCAATTTTTACTGGAGTAAACTGGTCCAAGTTGTACTGTGCAAATGCACTACAAGAGGGAAAAAAAACCAAAAACCTGCATCAGGCACAATCTTTCTTCCTTAGTAGATGTAAGAGACTTAATACAGTAGCTAATAATCTGGATGATAAAAGAAAAATTTATTACTGCCTCATTATTTAGCAGGCCCTAAAATACGGGCTCACCTTGATTGGCTCAGCACTGATACTGCTATTCCAATCATTACACAATGATTCACATTCAAAAGTCACCTCGTATAGACAGACACTTAAGCTTTACAGTAACCCACAGAAAGTGAAAGAACAGAGAATGTAAATTCCACTGAGTTCCTTCCTATTCAATTAGACATCTCTATTCTTACAGAGGAAATTAAATCTGGCATGAAATATAGTAGGCATAATGTCTTCATATAAAAGTAGGGTCTTCCCTCCTTCTACAAGTCTGGTGTCTACAACATTTACCAATAAACAGAAAAAATGCAAAAATGCAAAGACATTCCAAAATCCAGGTCTCCCATTTCAAAACCAGCTGTTCAAACTCATCAGGATACAACACTGATTTATTCGCTGCCAAAATATTGTATCTTAATCAAAGATGCACAACGCTCACAACAGGGTTTTATTTGCAAAAGCATCTTTTTAAACAAATCACTTACTGAACTGACTTTTATGCAGTACATGGCAGCTGGTACTTACTGGGCTGCTCCTTCCCTGAGAAGATTGTCATTATTAAGCAGCAACCGAACATCTGAAAGGAGATGTTTATAACATAGAAGTATACTTAATTCAAAGATATGTTCCAGTCACATTACAAATGGCAACAAACTACCCAAAACAATTAAAACCCAAACCATCCCATACCATCTAAGTAACTAGGCAGGAAAATCCATTGCTTCAGATTTTCTAATTTTGACTGAACTAAATGAGAAAAGCACTACTGAAATGGGATTCCTTCCAAAGCAATCTGGTTAAGAAGATACAAGCCATACCTGTAGGCTGTATAACAGCTCAAGGAATTTGTCAAAGAAGTAAGCCTGAGTTGCATATAAATGCTTTCGATCCTTAGTACTCTAACACTCAAGTCTTTGGCTAGACATCTACGATCAAATGTGGTGATGTGTGTCATCATCAAACACGCAGCCGCATTACTGAGCAGAGAGCTGTAACTATGAACTGACTCAATAGCAGTTTTAGCAGCACTGCAAGAAGAAACTGTATTTGCTTTCAGAGATCTCTGCTCACAAGCTGCTTCATTTCACAAGTACGCTACAAGCTATGTTCAGGTATTAATTACCTACTCACAGTTTCACTGAAGAACAAAATACTTCTCATTACATTCCTTAACAAATTTAAGCTCCTGCCACTCATTAGAAGTTTAGTGTACTCACCTTACTTCCTTATCTAAATAGCATCTGAGTTACTGGAGTATGTATGTCCATACACATTGGCACAGGACAAATGCAACAAGTTTTAAAGAAAAATAACATTTTAGATGGTTTAGTAATTAATAGCAGAAGGAAACTAATTTCAAGTCTCCTTACAGCTTACCTACATATCAGTAAAATGTATGATGCCATAACTTAAGAGTTAAAAATGTTTGCTTAAAGTGCAGGACACTTTAAGCTGTATCCCTTTGTACATTCAAGGTTAACTAATCAGGATGATATTCAAAGAGCCATTTTAATTTGAGTTAGTTTGATTTCTATTGAAAAATATAATAGTAAATTGCTGAAGTAGGAGTGCGTGCCTTGTAAAAGAACACAACTGTTAAACCATGGTTGAACAGAAACAGAAAGCAGACTCATTCTCACATCACAAAGAGAACTGGTAGGTTCTCACTACTGCATTTAAACTCCAAGCTGCCTTATGACTGCAAAGTTTATATGCCATGCTACAGAATCAGGATTGTAAAGCTCTTACAGCAAGTGAGCTCCTAAAAAACTAAGCTACACAAAATTCAGGAGAGCAATCAGCAATATGCTTTTGGGAACAGATGCCTTAAATGAAAACATGCAGCAGAAAGACACTTACCATTGAAAACCTCATTGAATTCCCCAGGAGGAGCATGAATTATGAATTTTGCTGCTATACGCACCTAAAAGACAAAAAATTATATGGTTTTATAGAGTTGTAATTATTTCTATTCACATCAATCATGAAAAGCTGGATAACTTCAATGGCCAGACATGAAAATGCACAATTCCTGTTTCACTGATTCATTCACACTGCAGTGCTCCTTTTCAGAAACACAGAAAATGAAGTTCCATCTCAACAGGACAGAGATGGTTACAAGTGATAGAACCAGGAGGAGACGAATTAAAAAAAAAAACAAACAACCACTCACAAAACAAAACAACACAACTCCCCACCCCAAAGAAAAACACCTGAGAACCTCGAGCCATTACCTTCAGCCATGACTTTTTTGCACTCAAAACACAGCAGAGGTCAGCACTTCCACTCAAAGTATGCATGCCTGCCGTGGCTTTCTCTCTACCTGTGCTTGCACAAGCACTTACACAACTGCACAGTGAGCAAAATCAGAAAGGTAATCTTTCTTTTTTGCAGACCAGCCCCCCGAGCTGCCTTACTGCACTACACAGCTGCAGACACGTGCTTGCCAAAGGAACACAAAGCTGCTTTCTTCACTATGGAACAACCAACCTGAAAATGTCTGAAGTACTACCTTACTAATACAGTGTCCCCTCTGCTGACTTTTCATTCTTGTTTTCCCCTTTAAGCTCTTAAGAACACACAGAACAAATAAACAAAAGGTGGATTCCTAAATTGACAAGAGTTCCTACTCTTTGTAATTTACAATTATCTAAGTTGAGGACACATTCAAGGCGGTCTTTCATCCTTGTCATGATATTGCTATTCAAATCTAGTGATTTGAACCATATTTCCCATTTCTAACACATTCAATTATGGTTCTGTGGGATAAAGATCTAGTTTCTGCAGTCTTTGGTCTTTCTGTCTGAAATTAAGAAGTCTGTGAAGCACGTACTTTACTGACAAATACCTAAACAACCACAAAACGCTTTACATTTAGGCATTTACAGATATATGAAACTGAAGAAGCAACTGTCTGAGCCTGCATGAGCTCCTGAATCAACCTGTAAGTATCTATTATTGCCCAGGTTGACAATAAACCCAGTGCTCAGCCGGGTTTCAGTCATCTCCAGGAGAGGTGATTCAAACTCTGAGTGCCCTGAGAAAGCACACAGCTGCTGCCTCATCAGCAGAGTTCAAACTCAGGCAGACCCCAAACAACTTGCCAAGCAGCTTCCTGCTCACTGCAAGTCAGAGCTGCTAATGGAAGTGAAAAGGCTGCCAGGTCTCAGCTGTCTCAATTGAATGCTGTGTTTTGGATTGCTGACAGCCTTTATCTGCTGCTTCAAATGCATACATCAGAACTCCTCTCTGCAGGTAAACACATATTTTGCATTATACTGAAATAAATGCCACAGGGCTTACTCTTTCATCAAATGAGACACAGCAGCTAAGTGGGAGTGCCTTGTTTTATGGCATCTTATTAAAGCACTCGCCCAGATAAACCCAACTGCCTTCTTTGACACAAAGGAATTTAATCTCATTTGCATAAGCCAGAGATCACCTCAGCCAACAGAAAGGGCTTCTCCCCAGTGAAGGCATGCTGCTCCACTGCCCTGCAGGAGCAGGGGCACCTCGTACTGGTACTGTGTGTAGTTCAGTGCTCGGACCAAACCAGTGCAGAGCACAGACACCCAATAAGGACCTGCCTCAGTGGGCTGCTCCAGATGGAGAAGGGCAAGGTGAGCTCCGGGCTCTTTGCAAGGGCATTTTAATCAAGCGACCAACTAACAGAGCCTGGGATTAGGCTGGGCTTTGGGCTCACAAAGAGGAGCAGCTATGGAGGTGCGCTGGATGAGGGGGTAGTTTGCAGGTTCTGACTCGACTCCAGAACACAGACAGGCCTGCTCACCCTGGGCATGGCTGGGCCAGCTCTGGGCGTGCTCAGAAGCAAGACTTCCAGAGACAGCCTGAGCTCTGAAACACACGGAGCAGCCTGGGGTTGGGCAGCTGCTAACTGCAAGATTAAGGAAAACTCAGTTATTTAAAGTGCAGTTTGAGCATCCATGTGGTTTAAGCTGCAAATATGTGCAACATCATATAAGAAATCTGCATTACAACCCAAGTAATACCTTGTTTTCAGCTGTTCTGGTAATGCTACATTGATTTTTATTCAATTATTTATTTTTGCTACCAGTACAAACTGCTTTTCTTCTTACTGTCAGATTTGCTGGAGTACGAATGCTATCGATTTCTTCTGAATAGATATTAACACATTTCCTCAGGACAGACTAAGCAAGATATTGCTTTCAATGAACACTGAGTAGTAAATTAAATTCCTCAGTATGACTCTCTTTAGTGCAGCAATTTATCATAGATACCACTTTCTAAATAATCACCAATGTGCAAATCAAGACACGTAAGGTACACTCATGGTTGCAGAAGCCAGAAACCTGCTGTCTATCAGTCAACTGCCCTCTGTCTTTTGCAAACCTACCTATGCGAATGGAGCCCTATTACAACTAATCCACCTCTTTTTTCACTAGTTAAACCAAATTAACTTATTACCAATACTTATCCAGTATTCTTATCTAACACGCAAGACCTCAAGATCACTTAGGGATTCTTTATTGCCGGAGAGTCCTTCCCAGAAGACACGCTCTGAAGGTGCTCTCTGTGCTCCAAAGCCAGCCTAACACACTAAATAAGAAATGAATGCGCTCCCACGTGCCTCACCGAGCTGAACATCTCCCCCTTTTGGCAACAAGAGGCCACTGGCTCAGATAGAACCCTAGGAAGCACAACATTGAGGCAGACAACTGAGAAGTGGTGGTTTAGGACAAAAGAAAAAAAGGATAGAGATACAGCAAAAGTACGTTACTTGTAACACACAGCAATAAGCTAAGAAACATCAAGTGCAACGCAGTACAGATAGGAAATGAGGGCTTTCTTTAAATCCTAGTGGGATGCATGACAGTTGTGGACAATGCCAGTTATTTGAGACACCGAGACTCCTAAAAACTGATCAGAACTGATTTAACAATCAGAACACAAAGAACACAGTGTTTTAAAGTCTAAGGGACAAACACTTTTCATTCAAGAGAAACGCAGGCTGGCACAAAGTACAAGCACTTCATATGAATAGCAGCGAGAAGCAAAAATCCAGGTTGTAACTGAGCATTCCTTCAAAATCTCAAACAGCCAGAACTGAGAAAATACTTTTAATGTCTCAACTTGTTACTCTAGTTTCTCCCAAAACATCATCTAAAGCATCATAGCAATGTTTTCCTGCTGAAGTTTCCAAGATTAGATTTACAGTCACTGTTTTAGTTAGAAGTTTTCCAAACAGCTTCCAAGAAATTGCAAACTTCAGAAGTTCTAATGCTCAGTGGTTCACAAAAAAAAAAAACTCTTGTGGGCAGCTTTTACTACCATTCTTTGCATTCAAGTGGACATTTACTGTATTTAATTAACTGAATGCAGAAAACCAATCTAAATACATCTTCCTAAAGGCTTCTGTCTTTAGGTCTTCCTAAGGACTTGCTGCAGCTTTGAGGATTAATCTGGACAAGTGATACACACATTGTAAGGGAAAACAACTTCTTAAGCATTAAGAATAGAAGCATCCCCTATTGCAGATTCTCTCTATTTCCACATGTAGATCAGACTTCACAGTGCAGACTGAAATGCAGTCTGTGATCAGTAAGTAAGAGTCAGCAAGACTGAATCTCTCAATATAAGTGAAACCAAATACTGCCCAGCACATCACTTAAAAGCTGTTTGATTTGTATGTAGAAAATGATTGCAGCTAAGGTAAAAATTCAGATTGAGGAGATAAAAGAAGGAGAAAAGGATAGCTTTGTTGTATGCAACGACTGTTGCTATCAGGCCATACTTTGTGCTGTTAGAGATTGAAGCAACTGTTATATAAACAAGCACCTAGATTCAGGTATGTCAGTATTTGCAGTTTGTTCAGATTACACAAGGACAAAACAGTCATTTACTGAACAGTGTTTTGCTTTCATCCTTTTGCCTTTGTTTCCAGTGTAATCTCTCCAAAGGCACACCATCCTCAGGTACACAGATGAATCCTTCTTCTTCACCTTTTCCAGACTGAGCCACTATGAACTTGTTTGAATTCAAAGTCACACACGGTCACTTAAAATGCCCCCAAACCACTCTTCCTGTTTCTGGCAAATCGGAAGCTGACATTGGTTGAAAAAGCTCAACCTTCAGTGCTGCATGTGCCTATATATGGCCATGAATACACGCTCAGACATGCAGGGCTCTCACAACGCCGTGCTACAGCATCAGCTCTGCTGTGAGATATTCCCAGCCATCAGCCAGGGTACACCTGACAAGAAGAAAGGCATTACAACTTCAGTTAGCTTTTCTTTCTTTCTCCCTTTATCTTTTCCCCTTTAACTTATCTGAACTACAGTTGCACTTGTCAGGCAGCCTGACAGTTCCTTCAATGAACAGCCACACCACAGAGGAAGAACACACCAGTAAGCGATATGCTGTGAAACCACATGCTTTGCCATTATACTTTCCTGCACATCACTTACTGCAAGTTCAGCTGCAGATTCATTGCAGCAGAGACCCGCCCTTCCTCTGCACTCACAGCAGGTTAAAGTTTACTGCTCTAGAGCAATAAAAATGAAACAGTGAGGTACATATTAAAACCCTTTTAAAGTAAAATCTTAAAAAAAAGAAAAACAAAAAAACAGTGGGGTGGGAGAAGAAAACCTTGGTGATCCAATCCCACCCTACAGAGCCATGACAACTTTGTAGCTGATCACAGGAAAAGAGTTTGCTCTAGCAGTTGCCTTTATCAGCAATTACAGCAGTTGTTGTACAAGAAATAAGGCACCACACATCATGCATTTTATATTCCTGAGAGAACCTTCACTTCCCTGTAAAACCAAATCTCATACTCACAGGTGAACCTACGTTTGGCAAAACAAGTAGGTGAGATGCCATATTTAGTAGAAGGGAGCTCTCTGTTCCTTCTCTAGGAGCAGAGAAGTGCCCCAAGAGTCTGTG